TACAAAAATTTAGAATAAATGATACAAAATGATATTTTTCTTGTAGGTTATCAGGCAAAACACCGTTGATAAACTACGTAAACGTCTTTTGTGTGCTTATAAAATATAACTATCTCACATCTATTATTTCAATAATTTTTCTTTACAATTATATATATAATATTATTTTTACTAAAATCTATTGTAAATTCCGTTTTCTTTTCTTTTCTTAACCCACATGGTGGTGGACGAGTGGTTGGTAGGCCATGGTTGTTTGGGTGAAATTCTCTCCATCCTGGCTTCGACTCCACCTGCTGTTATCAATATTATTGTGGGTAATCTGTCAGTTGGGCTTTGGCCCAATTGGTTTACCTGGTAGTCAGAAATGTAGGCGGCCTGACTACCCCTGACACTTAGTCGGAAAGCATTCCAAACTCGGGATAGGCAGAGTGGTAGCCCCTGACCTTTAACACGGTGGACCACTCCACTATATAGCACCTCGGTGCGTTCCTACCGAGGCAGACCGGGTTTATCAGAAAAAAAAAAAAAAAATCCTTTTTCTTATCACATACAGACAAACATAATTCATAATTGTGATAAAAAAAAAACTTCCATGAAAGTGCCAAGGTGGGCTTGGGTCATATAACATTGTTGCCTACTGATCTCGCAGACGGACTAAAGAAGGCCCAAAAACATAAACCCAGACGGACTAAGTGAATTCTATAAACGATATCATCTTTTGGTCTATTTGACATCCACATAACGCACATTATAGACTTTTGAGTCTTTGACTCGTTCTACTGCAACCGTTTGTACTCGTTCTAAATACTTAAAATAAAAGCGTAACTTTGTCGACGTCTGAAGTGGCGAATGGTTGCGTGAAGAAGAATTCACCACACCAAAGAAGAAAATACTAATTTACATGCTCGACACTCTGACCCGAGGAGATTAATATAGATTAATAATCCCAGAATCTTTTGGTAAATCAACAAATTGATTCATTTGGGTAACTTTGTCTGATTCAAATTTATAAACCAAATTATTAGGTCTTTCACCAAAGAAAATAAAATAATAAGAAAGGTCGTTTGCACTCAAGAAGATTGCACCATTGACCTCTTTGAAATTACTCCTCTTGATAAAATATTATAAAAACATTAAATTTCATTGATTAGATTCCTAGGTCTCATGTTTAACGTTTACAACTAATATGAAAATTTCCAAATAAAATTACAATCTCATAGTAATTAAGACAATTTTCATCTGTATTATTATTAGGGAGACTCACAAAAATGCCCCTTTTTCAATACCCCTTTTCAAAAATGCCCCCTTTGGATGTCTATTTTTAAAAATACCCCTTTTATGTACAAAATGACTAAATTACCCTTCTTTTAATAAAAGATATCATAAATATATAAGAAAATATAACAAAATTAGGTTCACAAAATACAAAATATTTTTTTCACTTTTCCCGCAAAAAAAAATTTTTGGTGGGAAAATTTTTTGGCGGGAAAAATTTTTACGGGAAAATTTTACAAGGTTTTTTAAAGGTTTTTACAAGTGTTTTTGCGGGAAAATTGCGGGATCACTTTTCCCGCCAAAAAATATTTTGTATTTTGTGGACCTAATTTTGTTTCAAATAAGGGTAAAATGGTCATTAAAAATTAAAAGAGGGCAAACTTAAAAATGGACTCTCAAAGGGGGCATTTTTGAAAAGGGGTATTGAAAAAGGGGCATTTTTAACAATTTCTCTAATTATTATTATTATTATTATTATTATTATTATTATTATTATTATTATTATTATTATTATTATTATTATTATTTTATTTTTTTTATTTTTTTTATTTTTTTATTATTTTTTTTTTTATAAACCCTATCAGCTATCCGGTCGGCCTCGGTAGGAACGCACCGAGGTGCTACATAGTGGACTGGTCCACCGTGTTAACGGTTAGGCCCTTACGGGCTACCACTCTGCTTATCCCGAGTTTGGAATGCCTTTCGACTAAGTACCAGGGGGTAGTCAGGCCGCCTGCATTTCTGGCTACCAGGTAAACCAATTGGACCAAGGTCCAACTGACAGACTTCCCAAACAAATGTGTTTTTGTTTTCAGAGAGAATCGAACTCAGGTTTAAGAGTTTCATCCTTTCCCAAAGCTTTCTCTGCTACTATCTGTATATTTTTTTAAAAATATACACATTATTCAGTTTTCCATTTGTATATTTTTTTATGGAAAACTGAATAATGTGTATATTTAAAAAAAGGATGTAAATTTTTTGCATTCAAACGCAAACGGTTTTAATCTTCCATGTTCTCGGTCTTAAAGTTGTACTTTGTAGCTACGACCAAGCATGTAAACAATGTAGCACCCATTAAAAGATTCAAACATCTGATTTCACCATAACAAACCCAACAAACATAGAAAATACTTATGAAATGTTGATAAAATAAAATAAACAGAAAACGATATGAGACCAAAAGAGGTCATATATATAGCTTCTTCCTTCCTCTTTACTCCTCGGTCTTCTCGACGGCGACTTCCTCAGCAGCCGCAACTTCAGTCGGTTTCTCCTCCACCGCCTCTGTCTTCTTCTCTTCCTCCACAACCGCCGGAGTTTCTGTCACTTCCTCAGCTTTCTTCTCCTCCTCCTCAACTGCCGGAGTTTCCGTGATCACCTCTGTCTTCTCCTCTTCCTCCTCTGTTTTCTTCTCGGTTTCTTCATCTTTCTTCTCTGCCTCTTCCACAACCACTTCTTCGCTCGTTTCTACAACTGGTGCTTCGGATTCTTGTTCTGTCACGGCGGGGACGGATTCTTCCGGTTGTTGGGTCACCTCTGTCTCCACCACTGGCTCCTCCACTGTCTTTGTTGGTACCTCAACGTTCTCTACTGCTACTGGAGTCACTTGATCAACCTGCAAGCGAAAACATACTTATTAAACGGAAAAATTGCATGCCGTTCCATCTCACTTGATAGAATCATAGATAAATGATATTCTTGGTAAAGATATTGATATTAATCAAATCTGGATAATATTAACAACTAATGAATCATAGGTATAGGATTTATAATTTGACAAAAAAACAAAACAATTAAGAGAATACCTCAACGGTGGCCATTTCGAAATGAAAAAGCTAAAGAGGATATCTAAATATATAGACAATAAGGAGAGGAGAAAAATAGAGTATGTGATGCTTTGGTGAGTGAAGATATTTGATCAAGAGGGGTATTTATAGTAGAAGCAAATGATTTACAATAATATTTTTTTAACTAAATATATAATAAAAATATTAATTTCTTTAAAGAACCATGATGATGAGTATTGCACATGAAAGAATCTTTTTTTGCTTATATATAAAAAACATTGTACTATTTTACACCTCATTCCACATAGATATAGTCATATAGAACATCACCACTTAACCATTACTTGTCAAGTTGTAACTAAAAAAAATAGTTTTATCATTTTTAAACTAGGAAATCAAATTCTATGTTACATTAAAAAAAATGATATACAATAGAAGTTTTTTGAGAATTAAGCTTTTTGCTTCCGTCTGATCTGTGACTTCAGTGAACGTTACAACAAACCTTTCATGTGATTGACGTTGAAACTCTTATTAAATTGAACGTTACAACTTCTCATTTGAACGTTGAACTCTTTTAGAAATTCCAGCAGTTAAACTTGCGTTGATGCCTGTTTATTCTTAAATTCTTTATTCTTTATTTTTTTATTCTATATATAAAACATAATATAGGCTTTATTCTATTTATTCAAAGGTAATTTAATTCAATTATTCACTTCGAACATCTTCCACACATCTCCCACGTATATGATTTGCCGTTGCCATTTCTCTAAACGTGATTTTTTTAGAAATAAAATACAAGGATTCTTATGCAAAATTTTAAAATTGCAAAATTAATTTTTTTTCTCTAAAAAACTATCAGAATTAATTTTATATTTCTTTATTTATGTGTGACATCAAACTTTTATAATGGAAATGCAAGCTTCCAACGATTTTTGAAAGTAGATTTACCGGAAACGCCACGCAACAAGATTCGTAAAGCTTTCGATTCTGAAATAGGAAACGATCCTCCGATGAAAATTTTGTGCTTCCTACTAAATAGGATAAAATTCGTTGTCAACTAAAAAAATAATGACAGAGACTGAATTTTGGTGAAAATGATATTTTGGAGAATAAGAACCCTTGAATAAGATTTAGGGGCTTTTGCAAAAATGCCACTTTTTCAATGCCACTTTTCAAAAATACCCCTTTTTTAAAACCTTATAAAAAATGCTCTTAAAAATATAAGATTTATCCAAATATGTATGTAATATTATTAAAACATACACAAACAACATTTCAATGTATCTAAAATCTTATAAATACTTTATAAATACCTTATAAATGCATTTTAAATATCTTTAAAAACCTTTAAAATATCTTGTAAAACCTTTGAAAACCCTTAAAAATCCTTTAAAATAACTTGTAAAACCTTTAAAAACACCTTATAAAACCTTATAAATACTTGGATCGAGTCTTCAAGTAGTAGTTACAATCCATAAGTACCTTATAAACTAATAAACCTAATAAAACTTTATAAAAATTTCAGATTTAAAAAGGGGCATTTTTGAAAATGGACATCTAAAATGGGCATTTTTGAAAAAGGGCACACCAAAAGGGGTATTTTTAACAATTTCCCTAAAATTTAAAGGGTCACACTCAGCTCTTTACGTTTCAACTTTAAATCATTTTGGTATTGGACTTACTAAAAATATAAACAAATATAGTGATTTACTATTTTTTCAAATTTTAACATTTTTCATTGTAATTTATTTTACTATTATCGGTTAATTAGCATTGGAAATTACATGTCACGAAAAGAAAAGATTAAAGAACATGGTGAAACTGTGTAAATGATTATCTTTTGACCATTTTGATCATGTCAAGCGATCTGAGATTGATTATTGTCTGAGAAAGAGAATGCAATCTTTACTTTTTTTTTTTACATCTTGCTTTACTTTATTTAAATTGAAACAGAGATTACATAGTAATTTCTTAGACATACACATACAACCAAGAAATGATTAAAGTTTAAAAAGAAAATACAATCGAACAAGTGAATTAAACGCCGCTTTCTTTTGTAAGCCTTACACGCTAATAGATTATCAAATCTATTATCTTCCTTATTCGTCTTCTTCCTTAATCCGACAAGATCATTTTGTTTGGCTATCGTTTTTTTGACGAAACACCAATAAACTTTAAAACGATCATTAGTTGCGATCCATCTGTTACATCGCTTCCCATCAAAACATCTCCAACAATAGAAGATGACATCTATCTTGGTTATATCCAATGCCCATAATTGCTGAAATGATGAATACCATCTTATGAATCTCGTTCCATGTAGACATCCCCAAAGGCTCGTGTTTAAATTAATGATTGATGGCCGTCCACATTCCTTGATCGATGATGATATCCAAGTCAAAAATTTGTTGAGGTATATTCGTAAAAACAAAGACAACATTATCTCTCTCCACCATATCCTTAGGCACTGCCTCGACCCGGTACTATGAAACGGTGTCTGCATGAAACACATCTTCAATTTGCCTTCACTGTCAATCTGAGTCCCAATGATACCAGGATCAAATGTCCAAATTACATCTCCGTACCATTTGGCGGAGGAAAATGACAACTGCCGAAAACACCACTTCATTCGTGGGCCAATGATGACTACTTGGCTACAAGAAGAAGATGAAACGCAATCGGAGACAAAACGCCGACAATAACACAATAGTGAACGCCGGGAAAACGCTCTAAAAAAGAGATGGATGGCTATTGGGGACCAACAAAATCGCATAATTATGGAAGAGAGAGTATCAGATCTAGCAAGACTGAGTGTTTTTCGATGGTTGCGATACCGACGAGGCATCTGGTCCATCTTCAAGGTCTTTGCCTTCGTAACATGACTCATGTATTGAAGGGTCGGTGAGACCCATCTCTTCTCATCATCAATCGAGATCACTTTCATGAGTCTGAAGTGAAGAAGATGTTTGAAGAAAATAAACTACAAACGAAAAAGAGGAAGTATGGCCGACGCCGGAGGCGACGCCAGCCAGAAAGAAATTAACGAAAGGGTTTTTTGTTGGGTAATCGCCTTCTTCGTCGCTCAGAGAGAACAAACAGTTTTTTCAATTATTTAGAATGCAATCTTTACTATTAGAGTCAATTTTTTATAAAAAAAAAAATCAAAAGTATTTTCCATGAACAAAAAAAAAGATTATACATTAAGAAAAAAAGAAGATTTAACTATAGAATTTCAGCTTTTCTTCTTAAAGGAATCAGACTAATTAGCGTATTTAATTATAAGGGTATTTTTCACATATTTAGTACTACTCTATTTTAAATCTGTACCATATTTGACTAAGATGACGTGGCTACAAGTTAAAGTGGGCCCATGTGAGTGTGAGCCAGGTAGGATTGCCAAGGGGCTTACCAAGAGACCTGCTGCCTCCCTTAAGTACGTACATCAGATTTCGTTTATTGGTCAATAATGCCATTTAAAGATATCTAAAGCCTAACAAAATAAAAAATAGTTATATGAAAATTGAAAAATAAATTACTATCTTCACTAAAAATGTTTATTTTTTTCAAATTTTATTTAAAAAAATAAAGTTGACATTATATTCCTATATTTAGTGTACTTTATTTTGAAAAAAAATACATGATTAGATTAATTTTGACATTATTGTCTCTAGCTTGGTATATAATATATATTAACATTTATACTAAATCTATATTTCAGTTAGATAGATTATTTAGTTTATCTAAACATATTGATGTTGGTTAAAAAATTGTAAATCCAAATTATGTTATTGATGTTTTCTCTAATAAGATTTTAAGCCAATCGCTAATGTTTAGGTTTTAGAACCTTAAAAACAATCTCTATATAGGTTTTACGTTTAGTTGATGAAATAAATAGAGCAGATTGCCAGATTGTGATTAAAACTACCTCCGTTTCGTTTTAGTTGTCGTTTAAGGTTTTCTCACATAAATTAAGAAAAACATTAAATTTTTTGTTTTACCTTTTATTAATATATTTTATAAAAAAATTCATTGGCCGAAACATTAAAACAGTAGAGATAAAACTGGAATTTCCACCAAACATTTGCATCGAAAACCTAAAACGATATCTATTATGAAACAAAATTTTAACTCTAAAACGACAAGTAAAATGAAACGGAGGGAGTATTGATTTCTTACGCAAGAAAGAAGATAAAAGCCACGTACTCATCACAATCTGTAAAGAATGGCCAGCAGAAAAGCCGGTAAAAAGGGTTGGACGGCTAAGATGACCCCATTCAGTTGGTCCCATTCATCCTATAGTTTTGTCCGAAAATGAACTAAAACACCAATAATGCGTAAGGGATGGATGTTACAAAACTGGAAATTTAGGTAGAGGGAAAAAAAAAAAAGAAGTAGATATATCTTAGAGCATGATTAACAATGGTATCTTAAAAATGGTTCTTAGAAGTATTAAAGTTAAGAACTCTTAGTTTTGGGTCTTAGTTAAGCCACTTTTCTTAGTTTTGGGTCTTAGCTAAGCCACATTTCTTATTTAAAAACTCTTTAAGATACCATTGTTAATGGTGGTCTTAGGTATAAGTCAACACCGAGGGACTTAGTGACAATCTTAACATAATAATGTATCCATCACTCTATTTCCAACTTCCCGAAATTTTGTTTGGTCACACATAAATAAATTGCAACTTAATGACGTCGTCCGTCCAGATCGTAATCTAATAGTAATAATAATAAAGAAACCGTTATGAATCTTAAAAAGAGTTTATCAAAACCATACATTTCATCGAAAAACTAGATATATATACATACATACATATCCTTTACTCCTCGTCCTCGATATAGCTTTAATTAATATATATGATGTAGATCTGAGAAAAAGTTGCAAATAATTCACTTTTCGTGTCCCAATTATGATAAACGTCCCATGTCTTGAACATGTGTAACGCTACGTCCCATGTCTTGAACATGTGTAACGCTAAAGCGCGGACAAACTGATGGATTTATGTCTCTAGATTATAATTTCTCTACGATTGGTTCTACACCGTTGATTTAGAAGGAGGATCTGAATCTCATAGTAAAGGATTTGGGCTGATTTTAATTTCGCCAGAATAATTGTGGTTTGCTATATATCGATCCAGACTATATCCTAAATAATTAATACTGGTTCGAATTTGGATCTGAAAATCTTACATTATGAATAAATAGCTTTTAAGAAATTAGAGAAAAAATTGATGAAAAGATAAAAAAAGAAAAAAAAAATTAATTAATTTGGTGATCATTACAAAATCTGATCAAGTCGGGACACAACAACTCAAAGCTGGGTTGGGTCTGATCCCAAAAAATATCAGAGAATACAAAACAAATGGCTCTAATCCTGTATTTTTTTCTGGATGGAGTATACTTGAACATGATCGAAGACTCTAATTAACATCGCCATATAATTCAATCATAGAATTTTTCGAAAAAATGGTGCAACTCAATTGAAGTAACAAAATTTCTTATATTTTAATTATTGCATTGGTCTTTTCCGAAAAATATCGTATTAGCTGTAAAAATTAATTTATACGACTTTAAAATAAAAACTACAGAAAATTTTGAAGTTAAGTCCATTACTACAACAGTTGCCACCCTAATATTGAAAATGAAGTTCGTTCCTAATTGTCATTGCAAAGTGCAAACATAATAAAATTTTCATTGAAGTAACTAATGACGGTTAGTGCGATTTTCATAGCTAGCATCAATGAAATTATGTGTACTGCTGCATTCAATTTCATATTTGATAGAATAAATTTGTTTTCGATGCTATATTATTCTAACAATTAGATAGTGGGATGGAGGTCAAATTTCACAGACTGGACTTTAGACTTGGGACTAGAGGCCTAATTAACTCAATAGCCCAATAAATTTTCTCTTGGAATTTTTTTTTTCTCCTTGGATTTTCTTTAAAACCCTACGAAACTTCTCTTTCTTTATTACCACTGACTCTTAGACCAATTGCCCTCCATCGCCACGACATTCGCTGGTCATGGACTCATGGTATAATGTTGTTAACCAAAGAAGTTATGGGCTTTTGCGCACAATATTTTTAGACCAATGTTTTACTAAGCTGAAGAGTATTGAAACTTGAAAGATGATCAACTCCTAAAACCAAAGAAAAAAAAAAAAAAAAAATTTCGGACCAGACTCAAGAGGTGAATACTTCTATTCAGATTTATGTGCATGCATGCATATATAGTTTGTACTATTTTATTTTTAGAAAGGAAAAAAAATCTGTGAACGGGAAGACTACAAGTCTTAATTAATTAAGGATCACCACATATGACCTTTTCTTCGAACTCCAGATTTAAACATTCCTCAAACATTTCTCTCTCATTGTCTTTTAATTCTCTTTATTTCTCTTCTTGTTACTTTCTTCTCATTCTTTTGACGAAATACAAACCCTATAATTAGATTCTCTTTTTCCTCCCCATTTCTTTTTCTTTTTGCCCCTCTGTTTCATGAAGTATTTTTTTGCTGTATCCTCGTTGACCTCAGTTGCATAACCATCTCCAGTAAATCAAATCCAACGGTAGAGATTTTACTAGGATATATCCAAATTAAATCAGAGAACAGTAGAGATCAGAAAAACAAAGATGGTTTTGAAAGATGAGGAGAAAGCTGGAGAGTCTTCAGAAGACCCAAAGGGGCAAGGGTTAAGCAGGAAAAACAGCCATAGCTCTATGTGTCCGACAGATGATGATGAAGAAGAAGAAGATAAGAAACTTGAACTTGGTCCCATGATTGCTCTTAAAGAACAGCTCGAGAAAGACAAGGTTTTGATCTCTCTTGTTATGATTTCAAAAAAATTTTAAAACCCAATTGAATTTTTGGCTATTTTAGACCAGACATGTTATAATAATGGTGAATTTACTTTTCATATCTCCACGAATATATAGTCACTTTTTCTGCTATTAAAAATTTGTTTAGGATGATGAAAGCTTGAGGAGATGGAAGGAGCAACTTCTAGGCAGCGTGGATCTTGAGGAGGTCGGAGGTAAACCAAAATCCAATACTCGGTTTATATCTATGGTTTAATAGCAGATAAATCCGGTTAGAGAATTCTATTGATTACAAATTATAATTCGTCCCAAATTCCATATATCTAGATTGCCTCGTGTGTGATCTGTTTAGCCGTTTAGGTATACTAAGGGTAAAAGAAGAGTGAATTAACATAAAATATAATTAGACTAATAAACCATACAAGGGTAATTGGTTTGCTCGAATTCACTAGCCCACATTGAATGGTGCTGTTAAAAAATAAACTGTAGATACATATGTAATGTTTTGATAGAGTAACAAAATGTAAATACAGAAACTCCGGATCCGGCGGTAAAGATACTGACCTTAACAATTAGGTCACCGGATAGAGAAGACATGGTATTAACTATACCTGAAAACGGAAAACCGACTTCGAAAGGACCATGGTTCACTCTCAAAGAAGGCTCTAAGTACACTCTCATATTTACTTTCCGTGTCACCAACAACATTGTGTCCGGGCTCCGGTACAGCAATACAGTTTGGAAGACCGGAATCAAGGGTATTTTTGTCTTTTACACATTCGTTTTCCATAAGTAAACTCATAAGCCTTTGTCTAATTTTTTTTCTTTAACTTTGTGGAGAACAGTGTATAGTAGGAAGGAGATGTTAGGAACGTTTAGTCCACAGGCGGAACCGTACAATCATGTCATGTTTGAAGAGACGGCGCCCTCTGGTCTGCTTGTTAGAGGCTCCTATTCTGTTAAATCTAAGGTACCAAAAATCTAATAGTTACATTTTTTTTTTGTTTAATTACTATGCATCATCTAGCAAAAAAATTTGTTTAGAGTTTTATTAACTGTAGACTATTTATGCATTATTATTCAAATCAATTACATATTATCTTGTATCTATTTTTCAGTTCGTCGATGACGATGATAAGTGCTACTTGGAGAACAACTACACCTTCGACATTCGCAAGAATTGGCTGTGATCCATCACAAAATTGACTTGAAGAAGAGAAAAATATATATAGTATTCATTATTGTTTCTCAATTTAAAATTTTCATAATTTAAATTTGTTCATATAGTTATTCGCCTAACTTTTTTTTGGATGATTGTTCATCTCACTTGATATAGACTATGCTTGTTTGTTTTTCTGTAAGTTACTATTTTCGGATTATATTCTATTTTTCAAACTAGCTAGATTTAGATTTTGTTACCGCAAATATTTATATTTAACATATCGTTGGAAATAAAAAAGATTGAAGAGCGCATTTAAGGAAATTGTACACTTCAGAACAATGAATGCCTCACTTAAATGCATCTTGGTGTACTGCACTATCAATCTCGTATTTAACTCTTGTGGAAGTCACTAGATAATAACCTAATCACCAGAAATATTTTCGTATATACATGACAATTTTTCTATATAAATAAAGCCAATAACATTCTCGAAGATACAAATTTCAACTCTCTCACAAACCCAAACCCAAACCAAAACCAAAATCCAATATGAAGAAGACCTACAACAAGTTTCAAAGCATCTTCTCTTCTCTCATCATCCTCATAATAATCCTGCTATCGGTTTCGAGAGCCGCCGCTACTGGCTCCGGTGGTGTTTGTCGGCATCCGCCGTCACAAAACAGCTGCAAGACATGCATGGCGGAGCAAATGATATACGCCTGCCCTAAGTGCGTGCCGGTGCTCCGTTGCATGGCTCGTTGCCTTTGGGGCGGTGTGACACAGAGGAAGTGCACCACCACGTGTGGATGCGACACGGCGGCCAAGCCGTCGCTGCTGGAGTGTAAACGCTGCGTTTCAAGGTGTAAGTGTAGCTGTGCGGCTTAGGAACAAATCGACTTAATGCTCTCTTGATGTTAAAATAATGTGTTAAATGTTGGATCTTTGTCCGTTTATTTATGTATTTTGAATCTTTGTCGTTTAACTTGGTGTTGTATATGTTGAATGCTACGACGTATAGTTCATAGTTATACTCGTATGTTTAAGAGTTATATCTCATTCTTCTTTTTCTTTTCCATCAATAACTCACACACACCTTCAAATTTGTACTAGAATTTACTAATTAGCACTCCTTCTGTTTTATATTATAGGGTGTTTTAGATTTTTTTTCTCGTTTTACAATATATGATATTTTGAAGAACAATTTAAGTTTCTATGCAAAACATTAAATTAAACAGTTTTTTTGACTATTTATATTCTGCAATAAATTATACAATTGGTCAAATTATTTTTAATAGATATTCAACTGTATTTTTAATGTAAAAAACTCACAATTAATCACTTTCTTAAACTTTATGATTTTATCTAAAACATCTAATATTGTAAAACAGAGGGAGTATTTAGTAACTCGATTAAACATATACTCCATAACATAAAATTTGTTAATATGATGAACAAAATTATTGCAACTAAACACTTAAGGGAGTTTTTCAAATTAATTTTACAAATTTTCTTAGAGTATGATCACATCTGTTTATTTTGTAATTTTAAATTATAGAATAACTAAACACTAAAAGATCAATATGTATTCATATGATTTTGAATGTAAATAATTTCACTTTAAACCATATTTTGACACACAAGACGGCGCGTATTTCGTTCGATATATAATCCCGGAAACTTTCGTTATTTAACGGAACATAAACGGACTAAAAACAAAAGAAAAAGATGATCTATCGTACACCGCGACACACCGGATTAAACCGCCGTCATTCTCTGAGAAATCTCTGGAAACATCTGAAACCTAAATACTGAGCACAGAATCTCTCCATTTCCTCACCGCCTTTCTCTCTACACATCTCTTCCTCCACCGCTTCTTCCCAATACAAAGGCCAAGCACCGCCGCCTTGTCCGGCATCGACTCCGAGATCGTTGTAAGACCACCATTGAAATTCATCTTTAGTCTCCGAGATTGAATCGAGTATTTCCTGCATCCCTACGATCTTACGGCTCACTTTCCTCCGAGCTTCTCTGATCGTCGGATCTAAACCAGGGACGGAGTCTAGTTTCAGAAGCAGAGACATCAGAGTCTCGTTCATTCTCAGCCGTTCTTTCTCATCGCTTCTAATGGCGTCTACTGTTTCTTGCCGTTGGATCATGCTCTGTACACGATTCGCTTCCCGATTGACGGATGCGATTTTCTTGTATAGGCCTCGGATCCTATAAGAACGATAGCCAGACTGGATCCTCGCTGCTGCGGCGGCAGCGTTAGTCTGGTCGGTGGCTCTCGTCGTCGTCGAAGATGGAGTTTCAATCGGGATTTGTTTGGTTGCTGGAGGGGTAATATGGTCATTATCGAAAGTGTGGATAACGGTGGTGGTTGTTGACGACGATGAGAATTTTTTTGAACTTTTCATTTTTTTTTTCTTAATATGGATGAGAATATTTATGACGGTGGTCGTTTTTGACTCTTTATATAACTCGTGGATATTGAATATAACTCAGTCACTAGTAACCAGTAACTTCTAAAGACCAATTATTGAAAGTTTGTGTCATTGTGTGTATTAGCGACCGACCGTTACTAATGGACCCATTACCACTCGATGAATATCGCTTTCATATTGAAAGTTATTAATATTCCGTTGTCTTTCTTTATAAAAGATTCAATAACATATTACGCCAATATCGAGATGTTTTTATTATGAATCCGATGGGGTTATCTACTTAATCATATCCATACCACAAGTGCTTAATCATGATAATCGTGATTATAGAAATCTCCTGCAGATAAAGTGAAACTTCAATTAGTTATCAATTTTTTGGGCAAACCAATTCAGGGTTATAGGGAAAAAATTTGTCAATGTGATAAAGGTACGTTACCGGCGAGAGCTGATCAAGGCGGCGAAGGAACAATTTTCCCTGTGCATGTTCCAAACCCGACACTGTAACCATCTCCCTACACAGGATTAATCATAGCCGTAACTTGATTAACAAGCGTAAACCAAAATGTCATACAACAAAATTCATAATCATTTGGAATTGTTGGGACATGAAGCAATAAAACCAAGCAGAGAAACTGTTTTAATTAGCTGATACCTTGCATACACCTGAGAAGGTGACTTGGTCTCCGTCTTGGAGAAACGTCTGAGTTGTTCCGTTGAGTGATAGAGGTTTCTGTCCATTCCAAGTCAACTCAAGAAGGCACCCATATGAATCTGGCTCCTGCGTTTAGAACCAAGAAACAAAGAGCTTGCGCGTTATTGTGTAGCCATTGCGTGATAAAGTACATGAGAGAACCAGTTAGAAAAGAGTTTACCGGTCCGCTTATGGTTCCGGTGCCAAGGAGATCACCAGGCCTCAAATTGCAACCGTTCACGGTATGGTGTGCTAACTGCTGCGTTATGGTCCAATATCTGTCACAAGAAGTTTTAAGGAGTTTGAATCAAACTGGTTAATTATATGAAGGAATTGGGTAAGAGAATATGAAGGAACTCACAAGTTTTGGAAGTTGCTCTTTGTTATTACACAAGAATCATCTTTCCCAGAAGGTTTAAGTTGAACCTATAAGAGGTAAAAACATGATGTTTCTTTCAGTTTAATCCACCATAAGCTGTAGTTGATAGCGAAAAAATCAACTCCAATACCGAATGCTACCTCCAAGGAGATATCATAATTTACAGATTCTTTCTCAGCCAAATATGGCAATGGAGGTGGATCCTGCAACAAGAATAAGTTAGATCATGAGAGAATCAATGATTGCGTGACACAAAAAGAATGTGACGCCTAAGTACCAACCTGCTTGGGAGCTTGACAACCGAAAGGCTCAAGCGCATCCAAGGTAACAATCCAAGGGGATACCGTAGTCCCTAAAACACAACAGAACAACATTCACTGAAGTTTTTTGCCCATAAACTCCAACTCGAGGAAAAATGAAATCGAAGTTTTGAAGCCAAATATCAAGCTTGAATAGTAATTTCTCACCAAAACTCTTCCCCAGGAAAGGACCAAGAGGTACATACTCCCACGCCTGAATATCCCTAGCTGTAGCAACAAACAATTCAAAAAACAAGTCATGCCCGGTCAGGTTAAAGATGACTCAAAGAAAACTATAGTTAAGTGAGTACCACTCCAGTCATTCATCAGTACTAGACCAAATATATGATCGGCTGCATTATTCACGTCAATAGGCTTTCCCAATTCATTTCCTGGACCAACCACAGCAGCCTGAGTATCATGTGATAAAAGAGAGGGTTGTCAGTGGTGTTATTCTTAAGTAACACCAAATAGCATCAACCGAATCATTCTAAAAAAATCCACATAACTGAGGCATCGGATGCTTACCATCTCAAGCTCAAAATCAAGTTTCTTCGAAGGACCAAAATATGGTTCAGAGTTTCCTTGTGGATGGCCCTGACCTCTGGAAGAAAGCAAAATGACCAAAGATAAAACTGGAACTAACATTTCATTATTAATTTGTTTACATGAAATTTTACTATCCTCCAATATTGGTTTCAATGTAAGAATATCTTATAGAATCTCTGACAAATTAAGAACAACTATGTATCTTGTCAAAAGCATAAAACCTTACATGATGCATGACTTCAAATATGACAAGTGAATTCTTAACAACCATTCTCAGTATAACAACCAAAAAACAGATTATATAAAACACAATTTCCTAACCTTGGTCGAATAATGTCGGTCCCAGAGATGACAATAGATGATGCCCGTCCATGATATGCAATGGGAAGACGAAACCTGAAAAATATGGTAATGTCGTGTAAAAACTTGCAGAGTCATCCTTTCGACTTGACCATTTTTCATGAAGAAACTCTCAGCTCAAAAGTAACATAAACGCACCAATTTGGGTTTATCGCATTCTCAGGCCCACGAAACATAAGCCCACAGTTCTTCGCGTGATGCATAGATGCAAAGAAGTCTGTATAGTCCCCAATGACCATAGGAACAATCATTTCCACTTTACTCTGCAGATTTGCACCAAACAACGATAAAGTAACAGATATTCAAACAAATTTCTCTAGTCTGTTTGAGGAACAAGTTTTTTCACACTACTAACCATCTCATAGAATGACTTTCTCCTCAAAACATCATTGTCTCGCAAGATAGGTTCATTAGCTGCATCAAAACATACCAAAACCAAAACCTTGAAGCCAAATAACAAAACTCCATAAAAATCCAAATAAATCAAAAGGATCAAACTGAACATACATGACAATATTCTTTGAAGCGTAGAACGCGCTTCCTTCCACGCAGGCCGTCCCATAGCCAAGAACTTATTCAAATTAGGCTGTAAACAGAGCACAGAAACTAAACACATTCACATCAAAAGAAACACACCAGAATATAAACACAACCTCATTTTCCTAATCACTAAGTGTAAGCAATACACTATACCATCAGATCATAAAGCAACAATTATAGCTGCGAAAGTTCAAAATCGTGAACAGAAAACTCAAAACTGTACCAAATAATCAATTGAAGCAACGAGCAATCGATTAGAACAGTGGAATTTTCCGAGCTAAACAGGATGTGATTTATTCAGAAAATTATCAATTAGGCTGATTATCTGGTCGGTGACGCAATCCAGAGCAACTAACCAACTTAACCATGGAGCAAACTCGAGAAAATATCACATTCAACAAGCAATGTTTGAAATCATCCTTGGCAACGTTAAAGGAATGGAGAAAACGAACCTGAAGGAAGCAATCGGCGTCCTTAAGGATCGGACCATCGAAAAGTCCAGCTTGGGAGATAGCGGAGAGGTCCAGAACCAAATCGCCGATAGCGACGGCAGGACGAGGAGTTGAGTTCGATTCCGGTTTGAAGACACCATAAGGGAGATTCTGGATAGGGAAGTGTGAGTCTGAGCCAACATCGATAAAGGACTTCAGCAACGCCATGGACGGACGAGATAAAGGGACCAAAAACGACGACGTATGAATCTCCGGCGAAGTTTCCCAAGCTAATCCCCAATTTCTAGTTGCGATAGAGAAGAGTTAGTTCGAAGTGGTAGGTATAGATTTTTTTTCTTAAGATGCCGTTTTTGAGATGATGACTGAGAAGTTGACGTCATGATCTTTACAGTTTTTCAAATATGTAATTTAATTTGAGATAAAACGATTTTGTGAAATGAGTGAATATTTATTATTTTTATTATTTATACAGAACGTTTTAATAACAAATAAACTGAAACTATATACTCCATTGCTGCTAATTGCAGCTCTGTGTTAGGGGAAAAAAGAACAAAATGTTTAAAAGAAAAAAAAATAAAATTACAAGAAAAAGTAACTGGAATGTCTTTTTTTTCTTTAAATCAACAAAACACACAAATTAAAGTCTCGCAGCCAAAAGAATATAATTGTGAGTAGTCTCGTTAATCATAAGGCAATGCATTTTTTACTCAATGGTTTTGAAACTAGTAGTAAGACGGAGGAGGAGGAGGAGGAGATGCATCATATGAGACACTTGGAATCGGTGGAACAAACGAGTCAGAGTAGGACGGAGGAGATGGTGGTGGTGATGATGAGTATGTATATTCAGGAGTTGGTTCGTAACTTGGTGTTGCTTGTGGTGGATGGCCTTCGTTACATGGTTTTGTTGGTGGCGGAGACTGGCTTGGTGAATAGTAGTACTCAGTCGGTGGTGGAGGGCTTGGTGTTTCCGATGGATAATATACCGGTGATGGTGGTGGAGGGCTTGATGTTACTGGGGGATAGTAAACGGGTGATGGTGGTGGAGGACTTGGTGTTACTGGGGGATAGTAAACTGGTGATGGTGGTGGAGGACTTGGTGCTTCCCACGGGTAGTAAACCGGTGACGGTGGTGGTGGACTGTATGTTTCTGGCGGATAGTATACCGGTGATTGTGGTGGTGGACTGTTTGTCACCGGTGGGTAGTATACTGGCGATGGTGGTGGAGGGCTTTGTGTTACTGGTGGATAGTATACCGGTGATGGTGGTGGCGGGCTTTGTGTCTCGGGTGCGTAGTATACAACAGGCGGTGGCGGAGATGAGTATACGTAAGGCGGAGGTGGAGATGAGTACACGTAAGGTGGTGGAGGAGATGAGTATACGTAAGGAGGTGGAGGAGATGGTGATGGTGGAGGAGGAGATGAGTATACGTAAGGAGGTGGGGGAGGAGATGAGTACACATAAGGCGGTGGAGGAGGAGATGAGTACACATAA